GTACCGCCATTAGCATTCCATTCTGCGTCTATTTACCGCGAGTGGCGCGAGCCACCCCCGAAAGTTGATCCCACCCCTGTTTCGTGACTAGCTGCCATGAGGGGTTCGTTCGTTCGGTAATTTGCCTCGTTCTATCTCCTCGTTTCCCGGCGTGCCGCTCGCGAGTTTCCTCCCCGAAATCTCGACGCATCCCCGGAAAGTTTCCGGCCCGGGGTTAAGAGAGCGCCCGAAGCCGATAACGAGCGACGTCGACGGATTATTCGAATCGCTTCGACGAGATAAATTCTTAATAAATAGTTGGACGAAGCAACGGTCAAAATTCATTCCACCTCTCTACGTGGGTGACCGCGAGGTGACGATAAAGCACCGTGAAGAGACAACGCGTGGACGTTATGGCGCAATTGTACGGTTCATCCGTTATCGCGGGCCCAGCGAGGAGACGCGGGCCGAACCTCTAATAAATTGCGTACAAATTACCGCATAAAATATCAGTTAAAATTAATTTGGTCGAGCAATCGAGCGGGATGGCTGACAACGTCCACGTCGTATAACGAGGCTGCCGTCCGCGTAGCCACGTTGATGCAATAAATGCAATTATGTAAATTCACTCGGGTAAACTCGCGGCGAAATGGACGATTTATTTGAGGATTATACGAAGTCGGGGGCGTATATCGAAAATTAGGCGAGCCTAGGGTGGAAGGTTTTAGGGAGATTCCGCCGTTTCGCCCAGTCGGCGGAAAACAAAGTCGTATCAAATCCACAATGGCGGCCGGCACCAGGGAGGAAGCACGGCAGGGCCGACGCAAACAAAGTCGTTATGCAATCCGGCTAGAAACGACACGACGTTCCCGGGAAAGTGGATCTCGCGACGTAAGCTCCGTATTAACTTCCCTTATTATCCGATAAACCGGAAAAAGTTCCCTCTAAAAAGAATGCCTCGGAGTCTGTCTTCGCAGAGGGCGAAAAAGGGGTTCGACGATCATTGGATATATCCGTCGACGCCGGGAACCGACAGGTCGAAATAAATGGCGAAGTGGCGGCTACAGAAGTCCGGTCCAGCCGATCGTTTATCAGGTCCGATGCATGTTCGGGACGCGAGCGAAGTATCGATAACGCCGTTGCGAGCCGGGCTCCTTCCGTCGGGCTTTCATCCCCCGAGAGGGGTAATATTTTCGCTCGTTTCCGTCATTACCGATAACCCACCCTTATCGAGGCTCCCCTATTTTTCCTATTTTCCCATGAATATCGCGGAGCCGATTCTCGCGTTTAATCCTCGCGACTCCGAGGCGGGACCGTCCGATCCGCCGCAAATATCCGTTATCACCGACGGGACGGAGATGAGAAGAAAGCTTCGCTATCTCGAGCACCGCGGATCGCGGCCTTCGCTCTTCCACGGGAAAAAAGCTCTCCGCGCGTCAGACATTTCCATTTGTCTTCCAATGGAAGGCCTCCTCTCCTGCGGGCTTTGTCGTTTGTCATCCTCCCGATAGATCGATAGTCACGACGGCGGAGGCCGCGGGCGATTACGAATTACGCCGGGGAAAAAAAGACCGGGAGCTGCGTCCGCTTCTGGACCGCCGTCTACCGTTTCGTCGCGGCGCCCTGACTCTTTCTCTCGAGATGACTTACCCATTTTTATTAATGCTCCGAGATAAAATTACCATTTTTCGTATCCACCCCACGATGAGTCGTCCGTTTCTCCCCGGGCCCGTGGATCGATATTTGATTTACACGTACCGAGAAGTGTATTAAAGCGTCGGTCGTTTTTTCCACCCTTAACACGGCCCTCGTGAATTATCTACCCGATACTTCGGTGCAGCTGCGAGATTAATTTCGACCGTTACGTTATCAAGTCCCACGTAATTCATTAAAATTTTGTTACATACCGGCAATCGCAAAGTGATCGCGCAAGGCTCGACAATAGGGCGACAGAAGCGGATGGGGAACTCGACGGTGGAACGGTCGGGCGAATGGTCGAACTATAACTCGATAAGTAGATACGGTGCGGTCAGCCACGGCCGGACGTCCCGCTTTCCAGGCGGGATCCGATTAGTCCAGCTATTCCAGAGTTCGCATTGAAATCCCGAGGGAACCGCACGCGGGCATGTGCATCTTTTCGCCGCCGAGCTCACCCCCAAGACCCGACCCAGCCCTGACACGAGTAACGTTAATTACGGCTTCGCCTCGATCACCGATACGGCTGCCCCGTGCTCCAGTTTCGGGAATCGCGCGAAAGCGATTACCCGCTATCGGGGAGATAACCGGCCCCGAATCGCGCGAGATAGCCCGCGAGCGGATCGCGAATCGATGGATTCGTCGATCGGGTTTTCACGGAAAGGCAAACCGGGGGGCACATTCGGTAAACCGGTAAACCGGTAAACCGGAAAACCAGCGAAACGGGACGTAGGAGATACAGAGACCGATGGTCGGGCATGGTTCACGGGTCCAGGAGTCGACCCAGAAACGCCACCGCGAGCTCGTGATCGCTCCGAGCCGAGCTTACGGCTCGTCGCTCCGTGAAAAGCCGGCCTTAGGAGATAATGGGCTTCGCTTTGCCGAGCCAACTCGCCGCTTTCCAAAACCCCGGCCAAAGCTGCCGAATCGATCGCCCTTCCCCCCGAAATCTCGAAGCGATCCGCTGGGAACGCCATTTTTAAGTGGCCCTGCTGGAAGGAAAGATAATAAAAAGGGAAGGGAATCGTCCTGTTTATGCCATTCCAGGGAAACCCCGAGATTCGTGAATCGTTCCCGGATTCTTGGTTCGCCATGCTTTATGGATCACGGATCCGGAAGTGGGCCCTGAATCGTCCTCGTTCCGAAACTTATGGCTTGTCGCGTCGTGAAAATCCACCTCGAAGAGATAACGGGCTTCGTTATGACCGGGTCAACCTGCCATTTTCGAAAATCCTCGGCCAAAGCGGTGGAATCGACCGCCCCCGAAAATCTCAACCGCGCCGGCCATTATTAAATGCGCCGGGAGCGGAAATAAGGAAAAAGGAAAAGACGGCCATTTTTACCGCACGATCCCGGGAAAACCTCGTAGATTTATGGATAGTTCCTTCTGGTCTTCCCGGTTCGGCTCGTAATTCCTTGCCCCCGGGTTTCTTATGGCGTGTTGCCGTAATAGTCGTACTTCCGGCCGTTAGCCCCGGGGCCCCGGGGCCCCGGTGAAATTTCCTAGCCTAATTGCTAAGTGGGAAACTTCGGCGCAAAATGTCGACGTCGGAACGCAGACCGCCCTCCTGTAGGAATGTCTCCAGTCGCCCCCTGCAATTTCCCCGCCCTCGCTCCGAGGATTATTCCAATTAGTGCCAATTAATGCGGAAAAACGCGGACTTTCGGCCGGACGGTTGAACCCTCGCAAAGTCGATTATTAATCCTCGGGACATCCCTGTCCCTCATTTTTCTCCACGCTCCACTTTCGCCGCCCCCTTCTCCCCCTGTATGTTCTGTATTTTATTTTTTTTTGTTACCCCCACGAATTCAAGGATGCACGTCGAGACCCGGAAAGGAAGGTCCTTTGTTGGGAAATAAAATTCGAAATCCTGGAGATATCGAGACGGGGAATATTCTAATTGTCATCGTTACCATCCCCTAACTTTTCGTCTCGACGAGAGGATGCTCGCGATGTACAAACAAGGTGATGTCTGAAATCTCGGTTCACTTTCCGCGTTTTACCACAGGGGAATAATAACAAGATGGCCACCGTCCTTCCGCGTATACCACTTGGCCTACATGCCGAGATGCATTCACCTTTCTCTCGAGTGGACAACTTTTTCTTTCGCTCGACCTCGATGCAGCATCCCCGGGGGTTCATTTAATGCTTCGCTCGGGGAAAAACGAGGAATCGCAAAATATGCGCCCATTGAATCGGGAGAAAAGGGTTTTCTTAAAGACCGGATAGGGATCCTAGAACCGAAGGGGGGTTGAAATTTCGAAACGAGGCGTACCATCGAGGGACGGTTTAAATTTTCCCGATTCTTTAAAGCGAAAGTATCGCGACGAACCAGGTTGATCGCAAGGCAGAAGGGAGAGTTTTTCTAAAAATCGTGGTTTCCTTAAAAAGGTTGGAATGTCGAAAAGGTGGTCGTTTTCAAAGGGTTTAATTTCCGTGATTTTTCGGAAGCGGACGACCTGCAGCGCCGATAAAGTAGAAGCACGGAGACACAAATTGCGGGAAATTAAACGAGATAAGGGAGGGGTGGAAGAGGGTGGAGGAAAAAAATAGGAGAAGAGTAAGGAAGAGGACACGGAATGAGAAAGGACCCGGGAAGGTCTAGCCTGGCTCAGACTTCAAAGTACTCGTGGAAACTGGGTTTGAGTACGTCCAGGGTAAATACAAAGACCGAGAAAATGGCGACCAGAGGGCCGCAGACAAGAGCGGTATTAATTTCTCTGCACCCCCTGAGCTCCGCCAAATCACGTCCTCTTGGTCCACAGAGGGTTGCACACCTCTCCCTTCTTTTCCCTTCCTTTCGTCGCCGGCTCCTTCCTCGACAATCTCGAAATTTTCGCGCGCGAGTAATTCCCCGCTTGTCCGGCTTTAATTAAAAATTTCCCTTTTTTCTTCAGCCTCGAAAAGCTCCTCCCCCCATTTGGGAAATATTTTCCGAAGGCGCTTTTCAGTCATTTTCCTACCCGCAAATAATCCACGGCTTTCTTCCTCCCCTATTCTCCATTTGCGAGGTCGAGGGCCGACCCGAGGTACTCTCTAGGAATCCCCTCTTAATCTGTCGACGAACTAATAAAACTTGGTTAAGCTTTGCAAGCTTTCGATCCCCTGGGAGAAATTCTAGGTACACTTTTCCGGAAGCACTCGGGTCAATCCGAGTATATGCTTTGCGCTTTCCATAAGTGTCGAGGATGAATTTATAAGGAACGATCGATTCCGATATGAAAATAAGTTCTTTCACTTTGTAATAAATTCGGCACGATTTCTGTAAATGTGGCGAAGGAGGCATTTTTGGAGGAGTACATTTGCGAATTTTCTTGACAAACAGGGGCGGTGGGCGGTGAAGGAGGCGATGAAGACGACAAGGAGAAGGAGGAGGAGGCCGAGAGGGAGCGACAGGAGGCCATCCGAGAAGCCGAGGAGAGACGGAAGGAGAAGCACCGTAAGATGGAGGAGGAACGAGAAAAGATGCGACAAGAGATCAGGGATAAGGTCGGTTTGCTCTTCTCTCTTCCCGATTGCCTTTCGGGGTGCCCTCGAAAGGTGATCTCCTCTTTTCCTCTCTCTTCCCCCGGGCCTTTTCTTCGCTCTTTCCGAAACGTTCCCCGGCGACGAATTGATTCCTCGTTTCAAAAAATAAATATATCTCTTTCCAATCGAATTCGGAGTTCCGGAGGAAGAATAATTTTTCTCACAGTTTTTCTCGGTCCCTCGTGACTGTCCACGCCTAGAAGACTTTCGCGATTTGAAAAAAAAAAATATTCGATCAAATTCGGAGTGCCGGATAATTTTTTTTCTAATTTTTCGAGTCACCCCCACCCACCCACGAAGCCCGCCTACATAGATAGGCGTACGTGTGATAATGTCCCAGGGATAAGAGGGCTTATTTCTCGGAGGAGGTCAGCCCGGGTCACCTGGGCCGGTGATAACGATCCCGGCTTATTTTTCGAAGCAGGTTGGCGTGTCACCCCGAAGTAAAGCCCCGCTCGCGTTATTAACGCGACATGCGACCGTCCGTCAGGGTCTTAATGGCCGCGGCCTGCCGCGAAACCTCTTGTAATTCAATAATGCCGATTAACCCCCGTTACGATCGGCCCGATAACTCGCCGGCACTTCGTGACGTGGACGACGGAGCTATCTTCCCTCGTTAACGCCCGTTCGGTCATTAGCGGCACTCGTACACCCCGTATACTCGCGATAAATGCCCTGTTTGTCCGACCGACCCCCCGTTAAGACCCGGTCTATAATTATTCCTCAAACGTCCCGCAATTGCGCAAAATGTTTTACCGGAAGGTCAGCCTCCGCCCTCGGATTTTGTTCGCATCTATCTTTTATCTGCATCTACATATTATCTGCATAAGAGGTATACCTTTCTTCCGCAGAATGCGCCAGAGGAATAAAGAACCGCGAGAGAGGAATCCGGAAGTTTATAAGAGAGTTTGGAATTTGTTCGCGTGGCTACACCTAATTTTGAAATATTGGACAGGAAAGCTCTTCTAAATTCTTCGAAGGAATTTTCAGAGGTTCTGCATCGTTACGCGAAATAAAGGGGAAATGGAAAGCTGGATCGGACGCAAAGGGTACCTGGTGAGGGTAAATTCGTCGGTATAATTTGCATCGGTGTGCGAGGGATGATTGAAATTTCGGGTAATAAGCTTGCACAACTGGTGGACTCATCGGAGGTAGTTTACGATAGAATTTACAAGGGGAGCGTAAAGAGCTCGCGCGTAGAAATCAAACCGCTGTATCGGCCAGATTTGTCTCGTCAACTGGAATATCGCTATTAATGATCGATCGCCCAATTAGTACGTCGGCATGATCATTGGCTAATGTTCCGAATAATCCTTGACGAATTAGCGCGCGCCTAACAATCCGGATTGGTACGGTAATTTACCGAAAATGACAATTAACGATACATCAAGACGGATATATTTGATTGCGCTACAACTGCAGCATCCAACTCTCGAATCGCCTCGGCTGAAGATCCGCCCGAAGACGCGAAAAATCTTGCGATAATCCGGAAAAAGGGGAAGAGAGATGAAAAGAGTGAGATTTCCGACGCGACCCAACCGCGTAGGGTCATCGCGCGTAAAGTGCAGAGAAGAGGCGCACTCGCGGACGTACGGAAAGTAAATACCGTCGACGATGGAGATATGCACCGGGCGAGATGCACCGTTAAGAGCGAGCGGCTTAACATGCAAATTCGATTATAAAATGGCGCGACCAAAACCTGTCACGTGCAGACGCCGGTCCGCGGACATCCCTTTCGCATAAACCGACGCAACAGTTTGCCACCGAGGAAGAAAACCGCCGCGAGTAATGCACTCCCCTGCGAATCGCTGATGCGACGGGTACCAGCAGCCCTGCATTATGCACCGCGATGCATACGCGCCGCCGAGCCCGAACGCGCAAGAAAGAAATTATTTATTAAACCTTGGGAGAAACGGCCCCGGTCTTTTGGCGCCAAGAACCGACGAGATTAATCTTCCGCTCTGGCGTTTCTGGGTCGCGGGACCCGCGAGTTCTGTCCGCCTTTGGGCCAACTTCTTAGGAAGATTGCGTCCGATATCGCGGAAGTAACGCCGAATAATTTAGAACGTTTCGCGTCCGACGGTAACGATGTTCGGTATCTTTTCAACCGCTTCTCGAGGATATCGCGAATGACGTTTAAAAATCCCAGAAATTACGAATTTCGCCAGTCACCGAGCCGGACTTTTAAGAACGAACGTATCATTCCGAAATAAACGCGAAAAGTGGCGCGAGACAATTCCCGGCCATTTGGGAAAGTAAAATCTCTCGTCGGTTCGATTTTTCGGTAATGGACGGACGAATCGGCCGACTTTGGTCCTTGCGGTGGACTCGGGGCACACTCCAAATTCGGTCGACCGCCGTTTAAACATTCATTCCGGCCGCGCGGCCGTCAAACGGAATTGTTTATCACCGACTGGAGCATCAAAGTTGGAGCTACTTGCGGCTTTCGGCTTTTTTCCCAAAATTAGGATTTCCTTTTTCAATCGTGACCCGTTTGCGCGTCCCGTAGTAGAAGGATTTAAAAATGGCGCTTTTATCCCAAAATCCGGGAGTCGTGGTTATCGTTCGCAATGTTCCGCCAATTATACGCTTTTCGCCGAATGGCGAATCCGAGTCAAAAGCATTCTGGATTTCTCATAATGTTTATGCTCGTTACGACGAATCCGGGAAAAATGCCCACCCCTCCCCGACGAAATTCCTCGCGTGCCGCTAAAAGCTCGGAAATTTCCATCCCGGCCCTCGGCGTATATAATTATTATTTCATCTCGTTTCGCTTCCTTTTTCGGTCCCTCTTCCTTCGCGCCGGATAAAATCATCGCGCAAAACGTAATTCGGGCGGAATTATGGATTCGCATTTCCCCCCTCGCGAAAAGCTCCAGGCATTTCCACGTCAATGAATTCTGATTGACCAATTCCCGGGAAGGGGGAAAAATGGGCCACGTCCCCTCCTTCTTCGTTCTCCTCCGAGTCCTTCGTTTCCACGATTTCTGCCTTTTAAACCACCATTATGGCCGCCGAAAAAAAAGGTTACGATAAATAACTGAGTGAAAGCAAAATACAAATGCAAATTAAGGAGGAAAGCGCACTTTTGAGAATGTCAAAAATTCTGTCATCGTGAAAAACTTGCCATCGTCTATCGCGATGCCGTTTAAATCCGTCGAATTCAAAATTGGAAAGCAGAAATGGAAGAGAGAGGCAACGAATATGGGAAAATTAAACGGGAGGGAGTGATTTTTGGAACGTCGAAAATTCGCGGAGCTTTATCTCGCATCGAGGTTTGCGAAAGGAATCGCAAAGCTCTTTCGGCTTTCCAATTTGCACGACTCGTTTCCCATCGCGTCGAGGTGACAGAGAGGAGAGGAGACGCAAAGAGGGGAAGAACCGATCTCGTGCTAATATTAATTCCGCGGTATTGTTCCGTCATGTCGTGACCGACGCGATGACATGACCCAGATGAAATCGAGGGCTCTCACGGGGGCGAAAAATAAATCGAACGATGGGACCGTCATCGAACGCCGCCATTCTTGACGTCACCGCGAATAATCCGAGGAAAACCTCGTATCGCTGGACCGACATATTGCGGTGATAGCGGCGTCGAGACGCTCGTCCGAAAACTGCCAAAAAAAGAGGTCTTACAAGCGAGCGCGAAATGGCCCGAGGAAAAGGAAAAAGATGGAAGAAAATGGAAGAAGGACGTCGTTTCGTCTTTATCGTCATCCCTGATGCTCTAATTTAAAAATATTAAATTTGTCTCGGATGCTGCAAGAGATAAAATCTGAACCCCCCGCCGAGATTTTTGAAAGCGAATTCAAGGGAGGCGATGCAAAATAATGGATGAAAATAACGGCGTGAAAGTATAAGAAATGGAAGATAAGAAATAAGCGGTTATAAGAGTAGGTGGGATGTAAAATAAAAGGAAGAAAATAAGGAAGAGGGTGGAGAAAGTCGAGCCACTTCGCCGGCAGAAGGATCCTAATGGAATCGATGGCGAGGATAATTAAGAGCAAGGAAAAGCGAGAGAGGAGACGAAAACAAGGAGAAACGGGGAGAAAAAGAGAGACGGAAAATCTAGGATAACCCGAGAGAGCAGAGCGAAGCGATCGGGCGCCATTTAAGGTCCTCGAACTCGATTATCGTCATTTTGCGAGGCGAATTTTGCCGGTTAATATCAATTTTGAGGCTGAAACTCCATTGGGGGCAAAATTCCCTTCGACGGCAAAAACGCAGACCGGCCTTGTCTCTGTCGGCTCTTATCAAAGGGAACCCTTCCCGTAACCCGATCAAACGCCATTTTTTTTTCCGTTCGGTCCCTGCAGAAATATTTCGCGAATTTAATTAGAGAGGGGTTAGTCGACACAAATTCCTCGGACGAAACAATTCCACCGGTCCATGGGGCATTTAGGCGCGGCCATTTTTCCCGGTGTCTTCCAATTAAGCACTTCGAGCTGGCCGCTGCATTTTCCCTCGTTATATGCGCTTCGGCGTATAATTCCCCGGGAAAGTGCTCGGGAACAAAAAGCTCGGCGCGTTTTCAACGTAACTTTGAAACGCGGCGAGCCCCGGATCGAGGGCGTTGCAATTAAATTGGTGCGCTCTACTTGCGAGGGGCTCGCGCTCCAATTTTCGTTCGAGATCGGCGATTTTTTCTTACGAGCGCGTAAGGCGCGATCCGAAAAAAGCGAACAAGGACTACGCCGACCAGTACAGAGATTGCAGGCGTGTAATATCAGCCTCGAAACGCGATCCTCCATCCGCCCAAAGTGCGTGCTCCGATTACGAGGTCAGTGCCCAGAGATAGGAAGATGATTTCGATTTTTTTTTTTCAGTATAATTAGAAATTTAATGATTTAAATTAGCACGTCGTAGGGGCTCTTATCGTTAGCGGAACCCGTTACGTCGACTATGAATTTATTACCGACTCTCCAGCGGTGCGGTACAATTCGCCGGATGTCGCGCACCTT